CCTCGGCCGCCGCTGCCCTGGGCTCCTCTCCTCATCCTGCTCGCTTTCTCTCTCCTCAGCTGGGGAAAGAGGGCCGGTGGCCTCCTGGCACCGCGGGCCGGGGCAGCTTCGCAGGCGCTCTTGGCAGTGACAGCCCCTCAGGTAGGACCCTGGGTTCCTCACGTGGTACGGGATCCCAGAGCCTCGCTTGCTGCTTTCCTTTTCCCACTGCGTTTATGGACACTTTGGGGTGAAGGGGCATTGATAGCTGTGACGTTGCAGCACGGTGAATGCATTTCAGCATTTACCCCTTGTGTGCAAGTGATCTTCGCTCCCTTGGATCACCCTGCTGGCTGTGCTGCCCATGCTCATCTCCGTGTGGCTGCTGTCATGCTATTCTTAGTACCCAGGTTTGAAGCTTGGAATTACCTCAGGCTGCAATTGCCCTTTGACTGCAGTGTAGACGCACCCACTCTGGTTGTTGCCACACGGGAAACCTCCGCACAATTCATCCTTCACCTGACCTTGTGCTCATATACCTTAATCATAACTGCTCTTCTCTATTAGAGCTCCTCTCTGTAAAAGGGGGAGTGGGTAGGGAATATGCACAATAGTTCTTGGCTTCAGCAAGCCAGCACCGCATCACTTTCTACTTCCTTGCCCTTTTTCTTTCCAAATCAGCACGGCTAGCAGTGGCAGTGCCAATTTCCATTTGCATTTTTCCTTTGTTATGGTGTGTCTGCTTTTCATTTACTGTAAAAGAACTACCCATTTAACTTTAATTTGTTGCTTTCAGTTTGAGATCCTAGAATGGTAATTTGCTCTTTATTCTTAAAGTAATATGAAGTTAGAGTATTAGCCCTCTTTTTATTAAAGGGGAAATGCTGGCACAGATAGGTGAAGTGACAGTCTCACAGCAAGTCAGTTATAAAATCGGCACCTCTGTCTCCTAACATCAGTCCCAATTCTGAATGCTGCCTTGTTCAAGTGGGCTTCCATTTACCTCCTTTCCCCCCCACCCCCGCAAGGCATTAAGACTAGCGGTACTAGAGCCTGACCCTCAGACACAGTTTGTAAAATCTGATCTGTAGTTTTCTGATACCAAGCACCATTGTCATTCTGTGCCTCCTTTCCTCTCCCATGTAGATCAACTTTAGTTGAAGTGTCCTAAGGATTATGTAGCTGAAATCCCACTGTTCTCCCTTCTGCTGCTCCAAATGGTGTTTGCCGTCTTGTAAAATCAAAGTTGATGAATTCACTAGCAGTTTAATCTCTGGATTCTGAGAACCATATGAGACTAGGAAACCTACTGAAGTATTGCATGTGTTAGTGCTTGGCAAGTAGAGCCAAACCTACATTATAAAATAGATGTTTAGATTATAAATATTTTATACGGCAATTCTTGTAATGCTTTTCGTGTGTGTGTGTGTGTGTGTGTGTGTTGCTGTTTTTTTTTTACAGCTGGAAACCAGTTGTCATGCTGTCTTGTGTACATAAGCAATTCCAAACATTAGGGAGCCTGTTCTATAAAGTAGACAGTGCTGCAATATAGTGGTATTTGATTGCAAAACGATAGCTGTGCAGATATTTCAGAATGAGCAAAAGAACAAGGAATGATTCACCTCTAGGGAGGTTAGTGAAGCCTTAGAACTGAGATGGGCCACACAGCACTGGTGGCCATTTAATAAATCTGTTGCCAGAGACTACTTTGGGTACATAAATTCTTGCTAAAATGAAATCTTTTCATTTAATGTGGTGACTCTTAATCCAGTGAACCTTAAAGTGTTTCACTAAGGGCCGGCCTATTTAGAACCGTAAATGTCCTTTGAGCCCTGGAAACATCAGGCTTTGTGTACTTTGCCCATGCAGCAGGCTACCCTGGCCTAGCAGGGAACATGAGTCTTGTGCGAGATGAAAAGAATAATGTAAAAGAGAAGATAAAATTCAAACTCTTAGAAGTAGTAGACCTGTGGGAGCAACACTAAACACACAAAGTACACACAGGCCTCTTGCTCCAATTACTTGGGTCCTCTCTGCTCCCTTCACAGGAGTTGTTTAACTTATATGGATTAATGTATACAGCCTTATTTGATGGACAGTTCTAGGCATGAGTGTGGGAAGAATGTTTTTTTAAGTTGCATAGAACTTGAAGCTTTCAGGCTGGGATAATTGCTTCCGCTACTCTACCAGAGGTGTCATGAGCTCAGGAAGCCAGAACACAGGCCTGAGGATACTAGTATGCGTTTTTGAGTAGATTGCATGTTAACATGCCCAAAATGTGTTTCCCGTTCCTTAATCTGATCTCCAGTGCAGTCAAACTGTCTTGTAGTTTTGGTGACTTACTACTCTGCTGCTACTTTAGGGTAAGATTGAGATGTGGAAAACACAATTTCTATGTGGTCTTAATAAATATTTCATTAACTTAATTTAATTGTAGAGGCCAACGTTTGGCTAATAAATTTACATGAAGTAACAAACATGACTTAACTGAAGAGGCCCAAATATTTTACAGTTCTTAAAAAAGCCTGCTTGAGAGAGACCACCTCATTGGGTTTGATTTCAGCATCTAACAGCTTTATAGAAATGCTCAAAATCCTTTTTTTTTTTTTCTTCATTCATTAAATTTAAGAATGTTTAGTAAATAGGTGACCTCATTTGATCCTTTTGGAACTGGACTGTTTATATTGTAATATTCTCCATTACAATTGTAATTTTATAGAGGTCAGACACTAGGGACCCGAAGACTGAATTTCCCTCACACTTTTAGAAGGGGTCTCCCCTCCAATACAAGGGTAATTCTGGAGTGGCAGTGTGGGAGAAACCTAAGATCAGTCTTCCCTTAAAAGTTTTGGTGGTAGTGATTTGTCAGTTAGAAGTGTTTAAAGAAAACAAAACAAGTCTCCCTTAAGTAGCATTATTATGTTGCAGAAAAAGCTAACGTAGATGCAGTTATATTATTATTTTTCTGGGGTAGATTTTTTATTCATACGGGGAACTGATGAGTTGTACTAGTGGAAGAACTCTTCCTGGTACAAGCTTCGTCTCCCTTCATACTCTTTTGCCAGGACATATAAGTATCGATAAGTGTTGATAGTGCCTTTGTTCATCTTGCTTTTCACCTGGAAGCACACAGAATATTTTTTCAGTCTGTCTGGATTACAAAATACACAGTAGTGAGAAATTCTATAAATTTACCAGACCACTTGGTTATTTCAGGCCTGAAGTCTTAAGTTACTCAAGTTAAATTGTTTTAGGATAGGGTAGATTTCTGAAACTGGCTTGGCAGAAACCTTTTTTCCTAAGTGAAATCCTGCTGAAATCTGGGTAAATGACTCTCTTCCCCAGCCCAGGGCTAGGGTTGGAGACTGCTGTCTAATCCCATTGCTTTCTTTCCAAATGTAGCCTGTGCACATGGCCTGAGAAACCATAGCCATTGGAACTGGAATACAGATCCCATGCCACGTCTACAGATTTTTGGGACAGTCTGTGGGGTTAGCATTGGATAAAAAGGATTATGTGCAATCCTGTGTTACCATTTAGGAAACGTAACTCCTGTACAAGTCTTAGTGTGGGATTTGTGTGTGGTGAAGGGTATTTCTCTGGTCTTTTGCACTCAGAAAAATATCATTCCTATTATCTGCATTGGAATTAGTCTTAATAAATAGTGCATTTGCACTCTCAAGGTGATCTGGCATTTGCTAAATTACTGGAGAAATGTATCCCCTTGATTCTGATTCTTCAAGGAAAAAAGTTTGCCATCCATCAATGATATGTAGCTTTTGGTTTTCTTTGTCAGAATGAGTGGGCCCACATTCTCTTCTCCAGCTGCTGAGATGGCAGAAATTAATCGACTTCAGTATGAAATGGAATACACTGAAGGCATCAGCCAACGCATGAGGGTCCCAGAAAAGCTAAAGGTAGCTCCACCAACTGCTAGTCTGGAACAGAGCATCCAAGAAGGACTTCCAAATGCAAGTGTTACAATGCAGGTCCCAGAGAGGATTGTAGTGGCAGGTACGTTTGCACTTTGGTGTAGGAAAGGCAGATAAAACTTGAACTGCTTTGTTGTACATTCAATGTGGCTTATTGTTGGGATACAAGAAATAGGCATATTTTGGGTGAAGTTATTCAGAAACCACAACTTGGAAAATTCTACCCAAACTTCTAGGTAGCAGCTGATGATTAAATTTTTAAAATGTAAAAAATGTTTCATGGACTAGGAGTATTAGGGCAACTTGTAATTAAGGCAGTTAGCAAATTAAACCTTCTGATGTATATTGCACTGAAGTTTTTCTGACCAGGGCGTGCCTATATTGGGGAATAATTACATGCCCCAGCTGTGTTGTTCAGTTTCCTGTTGCTTTTCATTACAGTATGTCTGAATTAGAATTCTGTAAATTGCCTTCACTTTACAGTTAGGGCTGCCCGGCTCTGGAATGGACTCCCAAGGGAGGTGGTGCTCTCCCCTACCTTGGGGGTCTTCAAGAAGAGGCTGCACAGATATTTGGCTGGGGTGTTATGACCCCGCACTCGTTCCTGCCCGAGGCAGGGGGTTGGACCTGATAATTTGTTTAGGTCCCTTCCGACCCTAAGCATTATGAAACTATGACTTCAGCAAAATTCAATTTTTATTGAATTATATTGGATTCCAAGCTGTAGCATGTGTGGGGATATATTTTAACTTGCGTATTAGGTACAAGTAAGAATTAATCCATTTTTATTCAGAAGCATTATCTGTTGATCTCTCAACTTTTGAGCTGCACTTCTGACATGTTTCGGAAGTGGTAATTGCTACTGCTATGTATTTGTTTTAGTTTGAAACAGTCAGGCTTTCAAACTCCAAATTCTCTTTAGATAATTATCTTTAGGCAATCCATAGAATGTTCTTAGGACCTGAACCTGCAAGATGAGTGCCCTTGCTCGTAGTGAAAGAGTTCATGCTCAGTACTTTTTATGGTCACAAATTGTGCATCTAGAAGATACTGCATAAGTGTGAGTAATACCTGTAAATATCAGAAATCTCTAATTGTGGCTTCTAGTAACATGCAAAATATGCAGAAGGTAGGAACCTCAAATTATTTGGTGTGTTCAGCAAAGCACTTGGGATGTCTTTGTTGTTTATTGTACATTAATACACTCTATTCTTGCAGGTAATAGTGAAGACATTCCATTTTCCAGACCACCAGATCTTGACCTTCTGCAGTCCACCCCATTCAAACCTTTGGCATTGAAAACTCCTCCTCGGGTTATTTCACTTAGTGAGCGATCACTAGATTTCCTGGACCTAGAAAAACCACCACCACAGACACCTCAAAATGAAGAGGCTAGTATTTTTATTTTATGTTGTTATAGCTGTGAAGTTTTCTATGAAAGAAGTAAAATGGTATGGTCATGGTTCTCTGGTCCAGATTAGTTTGATACTACCAAAATAAGTGTTGATATAAAAATATTTTACAAAGCACTCTGTGTGCCTGCTGGCAATAACAACCCTCTAACCATCTGTCAGTTAAAATTAAATATAGAATCTAAAATGCGTCATTACAGTTGCCAAAAGTTGTTTTTTTTGTCTAAGGAGAAAATTGTTCAAGTAAGTTCACTTTCACTGGGACTTTTCAGGTTATTGGAAAAAAGAAACTGCAAATTTCAATTAAAACTATTGCAATTTTTCTATGTTTTTGTGGGAAATTAATTTAATTTCCCAAACAGTTATCACTCTACTACAGCTTGCTAGAAAGACAAATCACCTGCATTGCAATATTTTCATTTTAATCCCTGTTTTCCACATGGCTATGCCCTAACTTGGCCTCTTTAAATTGCATGTGAAAAATCTTGCTATCCATGTTAATGAAGAAATCTACAAAAAGTGTGTTTTAAAATGCATTGTTTGGTTCTAAATTAATTGTAACATTTGGGGAAACTAAATGTCCTGTAGACAGTTTAGTGAAAATAATTGTTAAATGCATATAGGTGATTAAAAAACTAATAAAATAAAAGGATGTAAAAATCTCTGAATATGTCAAATCTGTCCACTTTGAGAAGTGATTTTAAAAAGGGATTGGTTTATATACTACGACTGCCTTAAAGAAAAGGTGACATAGTAAAGGTATATAAAAGAACACTGTTAAAGAAGCTGAATCCTAATACCAGGATAAATAGACACCAATAGCTGCATTTCACCATTTTTAAAATTGTTTTTAATAAAATATATAATGAACCATTGGAACTGATTACTGTGTGTTACTTTTGAGTCACAGAATAGAGCAGTATTCAAAAGTGTGTCAGGCATCTACTATGTTAGCATAGCCTACATTAAATAAAATATTGTTAGTAAAGTCCGTAAAATGTAGTTCACAGGTTGATTCAGCTCTGGCATCAGAATAGGTGAGATGACTTGAGAGATTTTTACAAGCAGCAAAATGTTTATAAACTCCCATTTGCAAATGGAGGGTGTAGGGGGAGGCAGGCAAGGTTCAAAGCTGGCCATTATGGTACAGACCTCTGTCTGCTAAGCATGTGAAAAGAACATGTCCTGTTGGTGCTGTACCTCAATCAGCAAAACCACTGGGCCAGGTGCGGCTTCTGTCGGCAGAGCTTCTGTGATCTTTTTCATGTTCCTTACCAGTATGGCTATGTTGACAAAACTTTGTAGTGTAAGCCTGGGGCTGGTCTATAGCCATTTAATACAGTTCTTTGAGGGCACTTCTCAACAATTTTCTTTTCTGCTTGTTTCCTCTTCCACCCTTTATTTGGCAGGTTCGTTCAGTGGGAAGACTGAAGAGAGAACGTTCCATGAGTGAAAACGCTGCTCGTCAAAATGGCCAGTTGGTCAGAAATGATTCCATGTGAGTAGAGAGCTGAGAGGAAGTAACCTCTTGCAGCTTAATAGAATTTTTTCTTCCTCCTTCTCTGCTTTTCCCATTTAATGCCTGATTCATTCATTTCAAATACTGAAACACTGGTAAGTAATGCAAGCTTGGACATTGTGGGCATTTTTACACGTGCTTTTGGATCCAGTGCCAGGTGCTTTAATTAGCAAGCTGCACTAATTAAAAGTGCCCTCATGTCACATGTATCCACATCCCTGCCCTGAAAAAATGGGGGTGGGGTGTTTTTAAACTAAAGCTCATTGAATGTGTTTTATTTCAAAGTGCCCTGCCGCCACTTTTTCAGTGTGGGGATGCTGATGCAGGTGAGAGAGAATGCTGCCAGAGCGTGTCAATTTCTATGCTCCAGCAGACTCAATCAGTCAAGCTTGCTTTGACATGCTGGATTTCCAGTGCACCAGAACAGGCTCCCCACACATCTAAGAGCCCTGTAATACTGCAACATGTCTTCTGAATATTCTTAAATTATTTGTTCAGTCACATATTTCTGTTGCAACCTTCCTGCACACTTTTTTGTGTAAATTTGTTTTATTGTAAACTGTGAATTCCAGCTTTAGGTCGGCTGCTTTTCAGTGTAATTTCTAGCTGTCTGCCTGTGACTTTGAAAGAGATTATCAGTTGCTAACTCTTTGCAATGCTTTGTCCCAAGTTTAGGTTATTCTTCCCAGAAACTGAGTTCTACTTTGTGCATCAAAGATGTGCATTACAGTATTCTTTCACCTATAACCCGCATCTTTCCCTCCAAAACCAGCTGGGGAAAATTGGGGTGCATTACATTCAAAAGAAAAGGATTCTGATGTGTCTAGAAATTTGGCAGGGAGAAGGGAGTGGTAGGAGCCACAGTAATGAACGCTGTCACTGCTCCTTCCCTTCCCTTCCTTCCCCCTGTCAAATTTCCAGACGCATGGCAGGCTCTCCTTCCCAGCTGCACACCAGGTCAGGCCAGTATGTGGGGCTGAGCCGCAGCCAGACCCAGGACGCTGAGTCAGACCCAGCGCAGTGGCTTCATTATCGTGTGCCAGGACAGTCCCAGAATGCCAAGTCTGGGACCATATGTTCTCTCCAGGGCTACATGCCGGGTCAGATCAGCATGCAGCCCTGGACCCATGGGCCCGATGCTTCACATGGGGCTGGGAGCAGGTTCTGTTCGCTACCTGCTGCCTCTCACTTACTTCGGTTGTAGATTTATTTATTTTTCTTCAGGCTCCCCTTCAAAATTAAGGTGTGTACTATATACAGAAGCGTGCTATATTTGAGAAAATATAGTATTAATTTCATGCACCCTATAAGTGTATAAGTAATTTTGGCTATAGACAAACATACCTTTTAAACTTTCCAGAGGAAAGGAGGAGGTGCTGCTCAGGAACATGTATCAACTGTTACAGTGTAACTGTCCCCCTGCTCCTGTTGTGTTATAAATTAGCTCAATCACTGCAACTTAAACCAGAAATGAAACAGTGCTAAAGTTTGAGTGGTTTTGCTGTGCTTGCATCATCACAGAAGCATGCAGATATAACAGCTATGACAACCCGTATCAGTATTATTTGATATGATAGAATTATGATGTCTGCCTGTTCTTTGCCTTTCTTGTTATAGTGTATATGGAGTTTATCAATATATCTTAATGTTGAGAGAGCAGAGAGTGGTAGACATCCTTTTTCTATAGAACGCTGGGTTTGGAAGTGATGTAATTCTATATGTTTATCCCCTTTGAATTAAAATTAATAGAACAATTAAATAGTTAAATATTGAGTGTATTCCCCCTCCAAGTTATGTTCAGGAAGCCTCTTTTTGCAGTCTGTTATTCCTCATTTGTATCATCAGTCCACAATAAACATGGAATTTTTTGTTTTGGAGCTCCTTTAATTTGCAATTTTAAATCAGTGTTCACCATTATTCAAAAACATAAACAGAGTTTGTTGTTGTTGTCTTGTATTCCTTGTTCCATTGCTGAAAATGCCACCAGTTTGAATACTTTTGCTTGGTTTAAACAAAGCTGATTTGGCTAATAAGCCTGTGTACTGTCTTGGCTATATGCTTACTCTTGGCTCCATCCAGGAAGCTTTTGTGGTATACTGACTGATTTGACAGAGGTCTAAATGAATTGCAGTAACCATTTATTTTTGTCCTTGGATAGATCCAGTCCACTTCTCTCCACAGACTGTAAAAGTCTGTGTTTTCCAGCTTAAATTCAGGTCACATCAAACCAATGAAGTAGTTTAAATAAATAAAACACGTATTGAAGAAAATATTTGGCCTCCTGGAAGGTGTGTTTAATGATTTTTTTTCTTGCCCCCCTTGGTCTGCCTTTATATGCTGGCTTAACTGACAGCCAGGATTTTTTCTGTGCTGTCTATTTGGATGTCTTGCTAAAGGCTATTCTAGACGTATTTCTCTGAGGCCTATTGTAAATGTGGTTTGTGTGTCCATCAGAGGTAGAGCACAGCCATTTTGGAATAGTTGCCAGACTGAGTTTCCGTCAACATGTCTTAGTGGGTGGGTATAATTTTAACTTCTTTTTCCCTATCCACCCTGGCCAGACACTGTTGCAGATAGAGCCTGGAGTTTCAATATGTGTGCTGTGAGAGTGATGGTATTGAAAAGAGTGACATTCTTGGAAGAGCCTGCCCAGAACAAAGCAAAAGACTTGGCTTCACTCCTGGTTTTATATCTAAGTACTGCAGACAGTTGTTACTGAATGTGTTGTCATCTACTTTCTCATCATCCTATCATGTAGTGGCTGTCATTAACATTTTTAGTGGGATTTGGGTTGAACTGTGAAAGTAATTCTTGAATGCTCTTAAAGACCAGCTGGTATGGTAATGATTAGGCATGCATTTTACAGTTACTAACTATGAAACAGTAATGATGGCTCCTTAAATTACTTTCCCTCTATTTATAAGGATGCTTATTTAAGAGAATTGCAATTATTGTTCAAGGTGGCACAGATCAGATACTGTCCCAAGAAATAAAATGCCACGGTTCCAGTCACCCCTCTCCACTAAGGACTACACGTAAGCTTAACTATTAATTATGGTATCTGAAAATCAAGAGTTTAATATTGCTCAGAGCTATATAATTAATCTTCTGCCCAAGTAGTTGTAATTCAGTGCACAATATCTGAAATAGCTATTGCTATCCTGAATGTGTGGCTTCTATCTGTAGTTTTGGGGGGGCTTCCTCAAATTTTGTCACATCATTCCTCTTATAAGATACAGAGGAAAAAATAGTACTTGGGCTTTCAATGCTGGGAGCTGTTTCAGTGACAGTGGAAACAGAAAGGAGAGTGTCTCCATTTGTAACATTATTTGTAAGACAAAAAATAGTAGTATAATGTTTAACATTGTGGATAAGGAAGCTTTTTTTTTTTTTTTTTTTTTTTTTCATTCTTCCTTGGCTGCTACAGCCTAATTGGGGCAATAACCTTCTCTTAAGTATTACCAACTAATAATGGATCAAAGTGTTCCATATTTTCATTCTGAAATGAGCAATCCAGCAAGAATGGGTGACAAAAAAGTGTGTGTAATCCTGCTTTTTCTGCTTCTCATTTTTACCAGAAGATGCTGGCATTTCCCTAGAGGCCAGCCTCACAGTTCAAAAAGTGCCTTTCTTTTAACAACCCTTGGAGAAGGAGGTGATGGTGTGTACACCTTTTTAAGAAAAAAGGACATGCACTTAACTCTTGTATTAATCTCTGTCAAAGGTGTTTGACCTTGATTACCTAAATCTGTTTGCCAGTAATGTGGTTTAAAAATGTGAGGCAGAGAAATAGCTGAAATAATAAGTAAGAAAACACCTAATCTGTGCCTTCCTGAAAGCCTGTTAAGCCAGAAGCCTGAACTACTTGTTGCTAGTTTTGCTATAGGCACACACATGCATTTGACTGTTTTACGTGGTAACTACAGAATGCTAAAGACAATCTTGCTAAAAACTCTTGGAAAAGAATTTGCTTCATGAAAATGCTTTCTGAAAAAATTCTGCAGCAATATGGTATTAAGGCCCAAGCAAAAGAGTAAAATGCTAAGAGTAGGGGAAGCTTTTGAGCTACCTTAGTAGCAATAGTATATAATGACAAATGAGAGAGATTCTAATTAAATATTTGACAGTCATGGCAGAGCTGTTTGTCAGAAGATTATATCATTCCATAATGTCCTGTTCTCCATACTCTCTGTTAGTCCTTTCTAGATGGCATACTTTATACTGAAATCAATTAAGAGGCACGTTTCTAAGTCCTAGGTCAAATCACAGAAGAGGATTTCACTTCATTCGGTAGGCCTTCTCTTTTTTTTCAGGTACAACTCCTTTTTTACCTCTAATTTCAGCTGTGTGCACATTTTAATTGCCAACCTTGGTCAGAACAAAAACAGGTTTTTCCTTGATGCTGAATACAATGCATTTTAGAGG